GTAGATTAAATACTGATATGTGCTCCCCTTGAAGACCAGAAATGCATATATAAAGTCCTGCATGCTGCTCTGTGATGTCCTTAATTAGAAGTTTTGGTTGGTTATCTGTGACTTGGCCATGTGGAGTCCACCAATGAACCTGCATGATATCTAGAATAAAAATAACAGGGAATTTTATCACTAAATGTGCATTATTTTAGGAGTTACATATATAACTGCAAAAAAGAAAGTTATGAATAAAATTTTTGAATAATATGTCTTTTATGCGCTTTTCCACTGCGTGGTACGACTTGGCTTGGCACGGCTCAGTATGACTCTGTTTGCGTTTCCACTGCTGTTTAGTATTGCTTTAGAGTGGGCGGGATTATTCACATGTCGTTATAGTTGCGCCGCCCCTACTGCCGTGACTCCTGAAAACCTTTTTCATTCCGCGTCGCCCCATCAAGCTCTCGCTGGATCCGCTCCTCTGCTATCAACGAGAGGAACGTCTGTACTTCCTCAACAGACCACAAAATAGCCATTTTTTGCTTGTTAAAAAAAGGTGCGCTCGTTCAAAACAGTTGCGTTCATTCCTTCGCTGGCTGTGCTGATTTAAATCTAGTGGTTCTGTTGTGTTTGTGTTGCAAGTTCAGTGACGCAGGTAGTGACGATTCTCTCCGGCCAATCAGTGATCAGCAGAGTTTACACGTCATGTTTTGGTAACGGTACGGTTCACTTGGAACCTCAACCGAGGTGGTACTAAAAAAAGTACCAGGTACTGTACCCAGTGGAAAACCCCCCCAAAAGTGAACCCTACCGTGCCGTACCATGCAGTGGAAAAGCGCCATTAGACTGTGGTTTTATAACTTCTGATACAGACAAGTAAGCAGAAGTAGCACCTTGACTGTCATTGCTGCAAGGAATTGATATTTGCATCCCCTCGTCCACAATCATGTTATAATAGCGACCAGATGTGCTGTATTTATGTGTTGGACAAGTAAGCTCCGAATCCTTCAGGTGAAGCAGATCTTTTCCACCATGATATGGTGGAGAGGCACATACCACTTGCCAGGAACTATCACCCATTTCAGAATCAAAACTAATCCATCTTCTCAAGGTCTGCAAGTTGCAGTCACACTTCCATCTGTTGAAGGAGACATCGACCAAGGTGTTGAGTTTTCGCAGGGACTGGTAGGCAGGAACAGGAATGGTGACCAGCCTGTTATAGCTCAGATCAAGGACCTGGATAGAATTAGTGAGTCAATCAAAATGTTTTCCTCATTTTAATGCACCCTGGGCTAGATTCTGTCAAAAGACAGTTAATAGAAAAAAAACCTAATTGTTATATGCCACTAGGGAGAGCACAGTCCTAAATATGTAAAACTGTTCTTAACAATATTTCCCTTTAGGATAAGAAAACAATATTATGTGACTGGTATTAACGTGATACTCAAATAAGCTGAATAGTTATGAGATGTTACCTGCAGCTGTTTAAGGTCTATAAAAGCATGTGGGTGAATGCTTATGATGCTGTTATGCTGGAGATGTAGCTCTTTCAAATCAATGCAGTTGTCCAGGTCGGTAAGACCTATCTTAGATATCTGGTTATAAGACAGCTGAAGAAACTGCAGAGACTTCATGCAGCCTAGCCCTGAAAGCAAAATGTATATTCATAATATAAAAACGTAAACATAATGCAATGATTAACAATAAACTTTCTAGTTAAATATCAATGCACCTGTTTGTGCCAATATCTGTGGCTGTAACAAAACCTTGCATAGTAGGGCAGTTATGGAGTGCCACATGAATCACCACTTGTTCAGATCAGGGAGGTTCTTGCAGCAACACTGCTTGAATATCTTCAGGACTTTACTGTCAAGTTGTTGGTAATAGTATTCTCACTATTAACGAATAATATTTGCATCTTAGTGGCTAATATTTTTTTGGATAAATATGTAAACCCAAAATTTGGCGCTTACAATAATTTAAATGAATGCAAACCAGTACATCACAAAGGTTCTTGAACATATCTAGAATTGAGTTGATTCAGAGTGGAAGGCTTGCAAAAGTTCTGGTATGTCTGTCAGAGAAGAGATGGAGAACTCTCTTGCCTATTTTAAGAACCGTGTTGACTGCTGAGCCGAAACGGGGGTCTGCTGGACAGGGGTTTATCAGAGAGAAGCATTGAGGCTGTGCTCTGAATCACAAAGAGCTGAAAAACATTGCGGTGCCACCATCTAATTCAGTGCTTACAGGCTGGCCAGATTGGGATCTGCCAAGGCTAAGAGCACAATTTAAAATCTGATTCTTGACCTTTGTTAACAAGTCCCTTTGAATTTCAAAGAAAAAAAAAAAGAAAAAAAGTTTCAAAGCAGACAGAGAAACATTGAAACCCTGCCAAAATTGTCTATCAACACTGACAATCACATCCTGGAACAGGATTTCAGAATTAAATGAAAGAATTAGCCATCCCATTAGAATAGCACTGAATATGAAATTGAAGAGACGATATTCAAAATCTAAAAGAGAATGATAAGTGCTTGAATTGGCTTTCTGTTCCCCAACTTACTATGAACATTCTACAAAACCCCCAGTTAAGTTTCTCTAAATATTTCAACAAAATGCTTTTTGGTGTCTATTTTAATGGTGTTTCTATTACAATCCAAACTGACAAGGAAGATTTAAAAAAAAATTGTATTACAGCAGGTTGGCGGATGACACATTATAGATGTGTCCCAAATTATGTACTATACATTATGTACACTATTTATGTAGATTATTTTGTCATCTAATAGCATTTGCATTTAATAGCCCCTATCAGGAAAACTATGACAGCCGAGTGCATGAAGTGTTCAACACACTTTGTTTTTGTTTTTTGGTTAATTAAGTGCGTCATCCGGGTATTTGAAGTGCACTTTTCCTTTTGGAATTTTGAGTGTGAACACACTACACTACAAAATGTCATAGAATAGTGTATAAATACACTAATAAATATAAGACACCTTTGAACACACTAGAACTCAATGTTAGCGTTTATGTGAAGGATGGTCAAAATACAAGGCCATAATGAAATTCACTCTCTGGAATGTGTTTAGACCATTATTACCCTTTTACAGCCCGTTATGAAGCACAGGAATGCCAGCGCCCAACCCTTGTGACAGATCACAGGTGATTTCTTTTCACCTCATGCTGAGGGAGGATCCTGTGACTGGTTTAAATGGAATTTAACAGGAAGAATGTGCAATCGCAACAGAGCAAAGTTACACTGATTATACAGACATTTACCACGGGGTGGAGAATGGGTGTGGGTTTTATGAATTTGACAGATTTTACATAATAAAATGAGATTAAAAAGATTCTATATAAAAAAAAAAGTTTTTAGTAGTTGATCAAATTTACTCATCTATCTGTCCGTCTATTAATTAATAGTAAGGGCGTTAATGTCACCATTATAGAAATGTGACAGAAATAAAGTTGCCCCGATTTCCTTTTTAATTTGAATATGTTTTTCAGGAGAAACGAAGGACAGAGATACAGTTTTTTTACAGTAAGAGTGTTGAATAAATTACTAATGCTGTAAAGTGTATCACATACATACTCTTGCGACACATACCCTTGGGTAGATGTTTTAGATGGTTTCTTTCAGCAGACAGCAACTGAAGGTCAGGTGCCCAGGAGGTGCATTCCTGTTCTCCACTTGACAGGGTCCTAGTGCCTGAACGGCCCTTCAAAATCAGAGACAGGCTCTCCAGAGCATTACTTCCTACCCAAAGGTGCAGAAGCCCTTTCAATTTTACATGACCAAAGCTGAGAGGAGCCAGAGAACGCAGGGCATTATTGGATATGTTCAAGGAAACCGCAGTTGCTGGGATGCGTGTGGGAATCTCAGTCAGACCCAAAGAAGAGCAGTTCAGGAGAGGACTGTGCTGGCACAGGCAGGGGACAGGACAGGCAGAGGTGGGGAAAGAATGTGTCCCACAGAGGTGGAGGAGCAATAGTGCCACACCAAGCACTGAGCTGGATGCTGACATTATTGTCAGCCCTGAATGATATAAACAACAAATAACAGATTGGAGAAGTGAAAAAGTAAGATGACAGAATATGGCATACTTACAGAGCCCCGCACATGTCATGCAAGAAAAAATAAATAAATCGTGTGCACAATTTAGCAAATCGAGGGAACGAACATTTTGTACATCGAGGGAACGAATTAGTAAATCGTACACACGATTTAGCCTACTATTTTTTTTCCTGTATGCCATGGCTCCGTACTTACTCGCATTTGTATGGTACAATACAGATAGAAAACACATGCATTTTTTTATTATTACTTTTTTTTTACTGAGCTGTTAAAATGAACGCGGAGAAAGTTTCCCTCATGAAATCCATCGCCAATAAAACCAAACCAATAAAATCAATTATATGCACACACACATATACAGTTGAAGTCTAAATTATTAAACATCAGTCCTTTACTTGCCTAAGCTCAAGGGAAAATTGTATATTTGTTTAAAACTAACCTTTTAGGGTAGCAGTTCTCCACTCGGCTCTGGCACACTTCTGTCTGTAGTTCTGGACAATTACCAACAAAACACTGAGACCAACTGAGAAATTCTTTGACTTTAACTCCAACTTCCCTAAGATCAAAGTCTGAATAGCATTATGGCACCAGACACACACACACACACACACACACACAAAGAACAATCTTTCTACAATCACTCACTTGCCTGAGTTAATGTCTTACTCAGGTTTGTTCCCTCCCAAGCATTTTAAGGATAAAAAATAAATAAAAATAAACAAATAATATTTAATGTTGAATAAATAAGAATTAACAGTTTTTACATACGTATGCAGTGACATATTAGTGAATTGCCACTAGATCATTGACCAAAATTAATAATTGACAAGTAAATTAATATCTTAACTCAGTTGCCACATGATATAGTTAGCAACTCTAATATCTGTTATTGTTGAGATGGATCATGTTTATACATCTAATAGTCCCAACAATCATAATACAGTTTTTTTCAATCAAAACCGCATTTGCATTTATTAACAAAAACACTGCAATATGAAAGCATTTATTTTCCTCTTCATTCCAAATATTTGTGACTTCCCTTCTGACAACGTTGAAAAGACCTAAAACCATAGAAGATCTAGAAACATAGATGAGCAGATGGTTTCAGGTTAACAGAGTAATCCATTATAGGGTTGAAATGAAAATCACATCTGACAGTCTCAGAACAGAAGATTTTTGGTTTGGACATCACAATAATACTGTGTTCAGAAACAACAATAAATACCACACATATACCCAGACAAACCAGGCCAAGAAGGTTATATTGCACAAAATATCACACAGATAACTCAATTATATATCATAGAAGTTTTCTTTTTTTATCTTATCAAAAGATATCATGAGAAGGCGATTGGGCAATATAATACAGGCCTTGAAAATATGTTCCAGAAGTGATACATCGCCACCCACTGTTTCAGGATCAGACTTACGGTGTTGCTTATTTAAAATGTGGCTTTAAAGCCACTTGACTGTGCTGATTCTGCATCAGTGAAGACTATTACAAATGAAATGAAAAGCAAAAGGGTCCAATCACGACCAAGTAAACATTTGTGATACAAAAACCAACCCTGAAGAAATCTTAATGATATCTGAGCTGTTTAATAAAATTGGCCACTTTAAATCACCTCTTAAAAGCCTTCTAAAGACCCACTGGCCATGTAGAACAATGCAAAAGGTTTATGACACATACTATTTTAACACTTATATCAGTCAAACAACACCCCTCTTTTTATGTGCCAATATGATAGTTATTAATGACAGGAGCGGATAGTAAAAGAGTGTAATAATACTGCTCAGAAAATCACTGGACTCAATTACTTTGCTACGATACAATATTTAAAGCACATGCAGTGAAGACTGAAAGTAGGCAGCTTAAAGGCTGTAAAACACTGAGGTAAGCTAATGAAAATGCACAGGGAGCTCTCGGCCATAAAAGAAAACGGTACTGTTTGTGCTGGGTCGGATTTATGGTTATAAGGGAGCCATCATCATCATAGAGGTATGTGTGTGTGCGTGTTCTTAGACCTCTAATAAAGCTGAGTGGGAGTGTAGAAGAAACTGTCTTATTGGGTGGGCGTGTTAGGCCGGATAGTGTGTTTTTTGTGTTTTGGGTGTGTATACACTAATAATTATTGTCCAGTTTTTAGGAAAAACAACTTTTGGCAGTTCACACTAAATGTTCATAAGAAGGCATTAATAAGCATGTGTATGTGTTTTCCAGTGGTTTTCCTTTCTCTTTCACTAGTGTCCTGCTCCACACGGATTGTCGGATGTTTGGCAGCCCATGTTGGAGTATTTGACCTGCACTCTGAATAGTGTGCCGTCTGCACACATGCAAAGTTTATACCTCTCCAGCCCCTCATTGAAGTACAGGTCTCCCCCTAAAGAGGAGTTTGGTATACGTGAAGGACTGAACATCACTGAGCCATTTAGAATAATGCTGTTTTCCTGCACAGAAAATAGAAAAAAAAAACATTCATACACTCGTAATTATATGTTTACATTTATATATATACACACTACCATTCAAAAGTTTGGGGTCAGCAAGCAGTGCAACTGTTTTCAGCATTGATAGTAATTAGAAATGATTCTTGCACTAAATTCTAGCACTAAATCACCATATAAAAATGATTTCTGAAGGATCATGTGACACTGAAGACTGGAGTAATGACTGATACCTTAATGGATGATGATCTTATTATAGTATTTATTTATTTTTTGGCAACTAAAGAAAAACTTTTTAACTCTTAACTACTTACCGCTTTTAGCTCAATGTCCCCACCCATGCTGAACTCCACGGTTTTTCCCATGATGTAAACTCCCTCGTTGCCACGGATAATGGCCTTACCATCTCCTTTGATAGTGAGGTCAGATGATGCATTGCTTGTTATCTGCAAAGGATGGCACTGAGTCACTATACAAAGACAACATGTGTGACTAATCAAAATACCTAGATTAAGACGATCATAAATCTCATACCAAAATACTTTTCATATGATTTGTTCTGACGTATAAGTGATGTATGCCATGTGATTAGGCACTACTATTTCAATTTGTACTCGGTTATTCAGGTTTCATAAGTCCATGAGTCAGGACTATGAGTATTTTTGCTTACTCTCTCAGTAGAGGCTTTCTTCACATTGAGAACCTTGACCTCTTTGGGCAGGTGGAACTCATGGTTGTCAAAGTCAGTGCTGAAGAAAGTCGTTTGAGTGCGGGGGTCAGTAAAGGAGATTCCTAAATCGCTGACAATAGACGTCTTATCTTCCTCTACGCTCAGCTTGGTGTTGCCCTGCTGGAACACCACCTGTAACTCACACAGAGAACACCTAAATCAATACACTTTCTCATGTCAACACTCAGAGCATACAGACTTGTTGAAAGAAAGTCAGATACTATGCTGACTGACTGGGTTATTGTTGCCAGTAATGACAAGGTCCTGGTCCTTCCTGCCGCCCACTGTGCTCTTGTGTAGTGGGTGGACCACGCCCATATCGGCCTTCTGTTTGAAGCGTAGCAGTCCACTCTCGTGAAACTCCATACTTTCACAACCTCCAGGACCTATCCGTATCACTGTCCATATCACCAGCGTTATCTATAAAACACAGATAATGTATAACTGTCTCTGTATTCAGTGAGCAGTAGAGATGTAACTCAAGTGATCTGAACATTTCTAATTATTACCTTTATTTATCTTATTTATTATTATCAATCTTGAAAACAGTTCATATTTTTGTGGAAAACCTGATATATTTTTTTCCCAGAATTTTCTGATGAATTGAAAGTTCAATAAACAACATTTATTTGAAATATAAATCATTTGTGATATTATGTTTTTGTTTTCACTTTTGATCAATTTAATGCATCCAAAATTATTTGATGCTAATTTTTCAGTATATCCTATCATATTAATATCACAGACACAACAAAGAACCGATAAACTCACAATGAGGTTGATGAGCGCAAGCACAAAAAGTAGGATGATAATGCCAATGGCAATGATGCCCTTGCGACCCCTCAGTCCTGTTTTGTGGAGTCTCTCCTCCTCAATCGGAATATATCCAGCCTTAAAATTACTGTTGTGCTCTTTATTAACTGATCTACGCTCAATTGCCTTCTCCCTCATGGACTTCTTCACCGGCACATTTGGGAATTCCTGTGGATATAAGGAAAAAATAGGGTACATTAGATAGTACAATTATTGTCTGTTTTACTAGACACTCCATTACTGCCACCAGTGGTTTACCATACAAGAACCCCTTCAAATATAGCATTACTCAGCTTTACTTAAACGATTTGCAATTAAGATATTTTCTAGGCTGCAGTGCTGAGTTTGGGTGTAAAATATCAGTTATGCCAGTATGTATTATTATGGTAGCCCAAAAGTACTTAAGCCACACTTTAAATAAGTATTTTTCCAATTACTTTCAACCAACTGTTTTCAAGGTTAATTTTTAGTAGATACATGAACTCAGTTATCCTCAAGTTCACAGAGGTGTAACGGCATAACAACCAACGGTGTAGATCATTTTAACATGTTCACTAATAATTGACAACCACAAAATGTCAAATACTTTTTAATTAAATTTAAACAACACATTTATTTTATATAATAACATCTGAGCATTTTTTATCATTTAATTTCTAACAAATCTATTTGTGATGATTATGCTTAAAATAAATATCATTCAAGTTTTATATTTCATTACATTTTAATATTTTATATTTAATTACGTAACTCGGTGTTAGTGTTAAGCAGGTCTTAAATGCTGTAATACTTTTGGGACCAATAATACTTTATATCCTCAGTACTTAATAATCTTATCTTTTGGAGTATTTAGTATATTTTGGCTAGAGCACTAGATAGTGACAAACGATTTTCAAATTCAAGGGAGTTATAGGGTACAAAAAATAACATATCTCAGCATATCACAACAATTTCTCACTTTTTTTCAGCAAATGCATCTTCTTTTAGAATGAACTAATAATAAACACATTCATGCTATTACAGTGTGACGGCTAAAAAAGAAAGCAGTGTTGCTGTCTTCAGGAATGCAGTAGATATGTTTGTATGCGCCTAAAAATAAATGACACGCAGCTCTTTCCTCTGTAATAAACACGAGCGAGTGGGTTTATTTTACAGCTCAAAAGTATCACTATTCAGTATAACAGCAAACTGTAACCCTGCAATAATGAGTCCATTTTTCCATTAACGGTAGGACATAAATAGCGCAGATGATCGTTATTATTTCACATACATCGCCATAGACATCGTTTCAATTTTAAAGTTATTATGCATCGCTCGTTTTAACGCTCAAAATCGCTTGAAAAGCAATGCTAAAGAGAAAAGATTTACAATTCAGACTGAAACCAGACCTGCTCGGACGCCATGTTGAGCCTCCCCCTCTCTCTCTCTCCAGAGCACTGTTAGCAGCTTCACACACACAGCCGCAGGAGAAACCACTGCGAGAAAACCGGTATCACACGATACTCACAAACAGCCAAACCTTCACATGGATTATACACTGCAAACATGTCTATCCTGAAAAATGAAATTGTCCATAAATACAGGCCGATGTTGAAGAAGGAACGCCTTGGTTTTAAGGGAGCAGGACTAATATGTAAGATGGTTTGTTCCTCCTCTATAAAGAGCCGGTTGTGACTCGCACAGACTCGCCGTATAAGGAAAGTACAAATAAAGATGGAGCACATCTTGAAATGTAAATGTAAAGAAGCGTCTGCTATGATATCTCCATTTTTCCATTAACGGTAGGACATAAATAGCGCAGATGATCGTTATTATTTCACATACATCGCCATAGACATCGTTTCAATTTTAAAGTTATTATGCATCGCTCGTTTTAACGCTCAAAATCGCTTGAAAAGCAATGCTAAAGAGAAAAGATTTACAATTCAGACTGAAACCAGACCTGCTCGGACGCCATGTTGAGCCTCCCCCTCTCTCTCTCTCCAGAGCACTGTTAGCAGCTTCACACACACAGCCGCAGGAGAAACCACTGCGAGAAAACCGGTATCACACGATACTCACAAACAGCCAAACCTTCACATGGATTATACACTGCAAACATGTCTATCCTGAAAAATGAAATTGTCCATAAATACAGGCCGATGTTGAAGAAGGAACGCCTTGGTTTTAAGGGAGCAGGACTAATATGGAAGATGGTTTGTTCCTCCTCTATAAAGAGCCGGTTGTGACTCGCACAGACTCGCCGTATAAGGAAAGTACAAATAAAGATGGAGCACATCTTGAAATGTAAATGTAAAGAAGCGTCTGCTATGATATTGTTTCTGTCTACTATCCTCCTGGGACCCATGCCTCTAGAGGACATTATATTTTAGTGAATTTCTCTGAGACCCTGCTATAGTTTTAAGTAGGCTAATGTTTTGTAACATTGTAACATGGGGTTTCAAATCGGAATATGACTTTTTGTTACGAAACGGCATAATTTTCATACATGTCTTCTGTGGAGGACACCAGGACAAACATCATGTTAACCAAGCACATCAAGTCAATAGGGAAAGAAATTATAGATCAATATTCCTATGAAATATGAGACATTCTTATGAAAATGTTGCCCAAGTTATTACTCCCATTAGTACACTTCTTTTTTCATTATGGTTTACCCCAAGAATATGCTAATTAGATGCAATGTATAGATACATTAGAATGGGAATACCTATTTATGGACATTTTACATATTCCATAAAGTACAGTAGTATATCAAATCATTCTGTTGTTTCATAAAATAGTTGAGAATCATCTTTGTACAAAGTTTGGCTAAAAATAGCCTGAAACCTAACAACTGATTGGTGAATGAAAAAATAAAACATTGTTTTTGCCTATACATGCCTTTTCACATCTATCCTGGCATCCTTTACAAATATAGAATAAAATATGAATAAAATCAATTTTTTTATCCATTTGTTTCTTATGCTCCAACCAATGTAATGACATTAAAAAAACATTTTTTTTTCAAAAAAATTCACAAAACATTTTTTTGTGGTTCTCAGGAGGCTATTACCAACTTAACATGAATTACCTTATACATTTCAGAGAAGTCTTTTACAGCTAAATATTTTTTTCAATGAGTAAAAAGTAAGCATTATTGATAGAAAAAGTTACATTTCCCTGTGTAAACACCACTTGTTTTATTTATTTATTTATAAAGTGATCAGTTATGTGTACATGGTGTTTTATGTTGCAGTTATGCCATTTATTTAACGTGTATTGCATTATTTGTGTTACCACTTTGTTATACTAGGTCACAGTTGCTGGATAACTCATTTAAGTCATGCAGTAACTACAATGCATTACTCAAAATGGTTTATTTTCATTTAATTTGTGATCAGGGCAGTGACCTGTAACTTTGTCACGTGATATAAAGTTACATGGCGGAAAATCAGTTAAGGCATTACACCTGTTCTCCCAGAGAATGTGAATAAAGATCTTCCTGCACTTGACATCTGACCCCAACTTAACAGTGTGCGATTTCATCTCTGAGAGCCGAGCTTCACCTTCAGACGGAGACACTGAGTAACATAATAAGAGGCCGTGTTAAACAAACAGCTCGCATGGTTCAGGCTGTTCACGTTGTGCTTGTTATACAGCTATATTTCCTCAAATTGAGAAGTCTAGCAAACCGTTGCTACAACTAAAAGCGCGTCCATGGTTTCGCTGAAAGTCAAGGGTGTGAATTCTTTACATGCATTTTGACTGCTCTCAGCACCCGTACCGTAAGTACACAATTACACGCGCAGGATGCACTGCTGGATGAACTGCACCGGGACGTCCTGAAGCAGGATTACAGCAGAGATGGCTGACACTTTACGAAGACTGGTGAACTCATCTCCGTACGGTGTTTTGCAGGACAAACTGGAAGCTTGGTACAAAGACTATCATGTAAGTCATCAATAACTGAAGCTGCTCTTAGTCTGTGATCAACCACAATAGTAGTTTACTATAGTTACACACTTTACAGTATGTTTAGTCAGTTATGTGTATTATATCAAGTGCACAAATTCAGGATTCTAGATTGTGATAGTGTTTGAGATTCTGTCTGGGGACTGTTTTCACCACATGTAAGTTAGGCCTATTTGAACTATTTAGATGCATCTGTTTTGTGGCTGGAGTTTGCACAACTCAATATGCACAAAAAACAGTTGTTAGATAGTCATAACATAGGCTACTGGAGTAATTGCCAAGCAACCTGAATTAATATGCACAAGACAAGAGTGTCCTGCATTGTGCTTCGATCTAACAACAGACCCGAGTTGGAATATTAGTTTTTTTGCATTGATTTTGCGGCAGTGTTTGGTTTCTATGGACGCTCGTTGTCAGGACAACTCAATTTCCGGGCACTTCTGATAGGCTGAGAGCAAACGTGCGCGCTCCCGTCACGCTTGTGTTTTCGGAATGGAGGGAGTCTCTTCTCGCGTGCTGAAAATTACACTAATCTTCTCAAATCATTAGTAATCACGAATTCTAGCCTAACAGATATAGTTCAGTGGCGCGTAGTTTATTTGATTTATCATTCATTCTTTCACAAACATAATTTATTCATATCAAGAAATGAAAGTTAAATAAAATGCTTTGAGAAGAGAGTAATTCGTTTTTTATATGCTAAGCATGTTTTCAGTTTTCAGTAATTGGATATGTGGGGTTTAGAGTAAAAATGTCTAGCTGGTGTTTCTTTAAAAGGCTGAAGTTCTGTAAAAAGAGAAGAGAGAGAGAAATTCTCTTGTACTATTTCTTTAAAATATTAAGTTAACCCTTTAACTGTCACTCGTCCCCTCTGTGTGACGCCTAAATGTACTTCACTATATTACAATTAAATCCTAATCTAATCATGACAAACTATATATCGTTGGAAAGGTCTAAGACTCCTAAATAGATATTTGAGCAATGTTTTTGTTAAAAATGATGTAGGAAAAGTAATAGATTAATTTATGACAAGAGTGCACCTCAAAAATCTACATCATATCAGGAGTTCTGACCTTTGTCAAAAAAAGTTTTTCTCTATTACACTTTAGAAATCATCAGAAATGATATATCAATTGAAAGCTTTAAATCTCAAAATTCATCCTTTTGAAACCCATTTTAAAATCAAACATTGCATTACCATGAAAATGGTACATCAATATCATGTTACAAAATGTTTTCGTTCATGAATTATAAAAATGTAAGTTTGGATCCACGTCTATGTTCAAAAATGTGAGTGACAGTTAAAGGGTTAAAAAATACATTTAGGTTCAAAGTTAAAACATATCACATATTTTTACTTAATAACTTTGGATTCTTGATATTTGTTAAAAAAAACACACTTGAAAAATATATTTCAAAACCATGAATGCAAGGTTTGCATAGAAAGAATTTGGAATATTAGAATGAATTGTAGTGTACTTATTTTTCACTATAAGCAAAACATTATTGCAATGCCAAAAAATAAAAGGCATTGTTTTTGTGCTACCTAATCGGGAAGTATGATATTCTATTATCCTTTTGAAACCCATTTTAAAATCAAACATTGCATTACCATGAAAATGGTACATCAATATCATGTTACAAAATGTTTTCGTTCATGAATTATAAAAATGTAAGTTTGGATCCACGTCTATGTTCAAAAATGTGAGTGACAGTTAAAGGGTTAAAAAATACATTTAGGTTCAAAGTTAAAACATATCACATATTTTTACTTAATAACTTTGGATTCTTGATATTTGTTAAAAAAAACACACTTGAAAAATATATTTCAAAACCGTGAATGCAAGGTTTGCATAGAAAGAATTTGGAATATTAGAATGAATTGTAGTGTACTTATTTTTCACTATAAGCAAAACATTATTGCAATGCCAAAAAATAAAAGGCATTGTTTTTGTGCTACCTAATTGGGAAGTATGATATTCTATTCAGCCCATTGTTGTAGTTTGGGGGCTTTCCCACAATTACTGCTTTACCTTTTGCTGTTGCATACTACCTTGCTTTGATCATTTTTCTCACAGGTGTTCTCTTGTGACCAAAACCTGAATAGGTGCTGTGAGCTGGTGGAGCTCACCTCTAAAATTCAGGGTCAATTGTTCACCATACTCAACCTTACAGCACAAGAGGGTAACAAATGGATATGCCCCTCTCTTTACTTTCAGTATTTAAATACAGTATTTAGTGTCTCATTCACCTCTAGCATGTCACATGTTCATTCCCTCTAGGTGACTGTTTAACAATAATGTTCAAGCAGATTCTCTGTCCTCTGTCTTCCTCAGGGGGACATTATTCAGGGGTTGACACACTGAAATCTCGCCTTTTACCATGGCTTGGCTCTTGCTTCACCATTGCAGCTACGTCTGTCTCCACGGATACCAGCCTTAGCCTCATTCAGGTCAGTTGGATATCCAGAATCCTCTGCTGCGGTCCTTACCATTTGTTCCACATGTTAGCAACCACCAGTGTGTGCTTTGTGTATAATGGTTGTCAGGAGTGAAATAACTATTTTGAGTAGCCATATACCTGCATGTATGTGTGTGTATCTCTGTGTTGGCACATGTATACCTTTGTGTGTGCTGATCAGGAATCTATGGAGAAAGGTCGGAAGATTCGGGA